CTAGAAGAGAAAAGTGAGAAAATGATCGATTAGTACAGAATCCACTCCAACATTACAATATCAAGACCCTTGATCAGATAAGACTATTTGATTATCTTCTATACTATGCCCTCCTCCCCTAGCCTGACTACGTCAGACTTCGTACTTCCGCTCAATTTAATTTCGCTTCTGTACTCAGTCTGTACTCTATCCGTTTTCCTCCGGCCTGAAAACAGCCGGCCAATCAACGAACAGAGGGCGGGCTGAAAGCCGTGACGTAGTCGCTAAGCGCCGAGTTTAAGATTAGGTCAGGGAAATCGAAAACGACCGCGGATATGGATGCAATTCGCTGTGTTGTGGAGAATATTCCCGGCATTAGCAAACTGAAGCCCGAACACGAAGAGTGTGTATTAAACATTTTGAATGGAGGTGATGTTGTGGCCCTACTCCCTTTGGAAAAAGTTTAATTTATCAACTATTACCGATCGTCAGCGAGAAACTGGGGAGCCTTTTGACAGGTCAGTGTCTCCTTTCTTTTCCAGGTCTTAAATATTGCCATGACATGCTGTAATCTTGCAATTAAGTTGCAGCATTTCCGACAGACTCGAGATGAACAAAGAGCTGTGTTTAACAGAACTAATCCTAACTTTGACAGTTGGCTGCAAATATTTTTTTGTTTCTCTCTACTGTCAAATATCAGTTTAGAGGCCCTGATTGTACCGTGGATGCGTAGATTAACTTCGCATAATCTGCAAAAGTCGTTCACAACCATGTTCACTCGATGGTTTAGTTTTCACATCACACATTTGTTTACAGTGGAAGTTCGATGCGGCTGAGCTGGCGAATAACACACGTCATAACCAAACGTTATGTGATTGGCTTACGGATAACCAATGATTTTATACTTCAGACAAGCCAACAGTTGTGTTAAGAACTGTTCACGGAAAAGTTCTGCACCGCAATTTCTGGTGTGGCACAAAATTAAATCTCGAGGAAGCAGTAGGCATATAAGCATAAAATACATTGGAAACAAAAATGCTGGGGGGAATGAGTACATTTTAAATTAGAATGAAAGTTTTTATTGATACTTTTTGGTATTGAATGAATTACAAGAAATACAATTTATAGACAAAATTTCTCTCGACTCCTCCATCTTGGAAGGGAGCATAACGTTGCCCGACAATGTCCAGTCAAGAAGTTCATATAAAAAGTTGGACCAGATCATATGTGCCAATGTTTATGAGATTCCACTGTGACATCCACGTTCAAGTAAAAACACAAAAAAGAGACAAAGCCATTTTTGTTTGTTCTCACAAGGCCACTAATATTCCATTACTCCCGGCATTAAAACACTCTGAAAACAAACCAATGGCTCTGTAGTAGTAGAAGTACCTCAGAGTGTATTTAATAAAAGAGAATAAAGACAAAAAAGTGAAGAGGGACAAGGAGAGGAGTAATGGAGGGTAGAAAGAAGAAAAAATATGGACCACGGTATTAATTGTAGACTGAGGTTTGATGTCAAGCACTCGGTCAGAACAGACCGATTCTCTGGACGTCAATACTATGGGTCAGATAAGGTTTGTTTTCACATGTTGGACTCTTTTTTCCTCGCTAACGTTCTCTCTGTGTTTTGAGGACATGATCCTGCTGTGTTCCACTCCACGCCGATCTGCACAAACTGGAACAGATGGCCCCTCGTCTCTCCTTTCACTACTATTTCACTCTCTCTATTGAGTCTAATTCATGAGTCCAGCTTAATGTCTCTTGTGTCGGTCTGTCAAATGGCCGTAAATAGATTTTTACTTTTATTAAAGAATCTGTGAGTAGTGAGCCGGTATATTCTGAGTGGTTTCTATGCAGTTACTAGACTGTAGCATTTCTTCTGTTCTCTTACTTTGCAAATAATTTTCTGCCAATTACCGTTCAAATGTTTTGAGTCAGCAATATCATTTTTTTAAAGAAATTAATACTTTCATTTAGCAAGGACATATTAAATAGATCAAAGGTGACAAAAAAGACATTTCTGATGATACAAAAAATGCTTTTAAACTTTCTATTCATCAAATAATCCTGGAAAAAGTATCAGTTTCGACAAGAATATTAAGAAACACAACTTTTTTTAACATTGACAACAATGTCTTGAGCACAAATCAGCCTATTAGAATGAGCAATGATGCTATTAAATATTAAAATAGAAAACAGTCATTTTAAATTGTAATAATATTTCACAATATAATTGTTTTAACCGAATAAATGCAACTATGATGAGCATAAGAGACTTTAATAAACTATAGATCGGTTGTGTATGTCATCCTACTCTTTCCCAAGAGCAATACATTCTGCTTTTGCATGTGTGTGGATTGCAGTGTAATGGCAAAACAAAAGTGGAGAGAGACATAACAGAGAGTTAAAGACGGCACACAGGGGAAAAAGAGATGTTAATTGGTGCCCAGCCGCCATGTGTGCATGTTTTTTATTCCCGAGGCCATTGACTCCAGAGAGGCAGGCATGACGCAGTTGGCTTCAACCTGCCTGGTGGAACATGCTAACGCTCGTCTCTGTAGCAGAAAACCAATTACACGCGCACACCCATCCAGATGCACAGAGACTCTTCTCACTGATGTGTGGGAGGGGATTATTCCCACACAGATCCTTCGCTAGTTCTCGCTTCCCGCCGTTCTCTCACTCTCTCTGTCGGGGTCTGGCATCTTCCTCTCAGAGAAAAAATGAACGTAAACTCACTGGTAATCTGCTAGGATGATATGGTGCTGATTGAAATCGGACACTATGGCTCCCTTTGACACCTGGCATTAGCATGTTTTCTGTGATCGTATCACAATCGGATAGCACTTGATCACATTAAAAATGGCACAAATGCACCCAGGATGTATGGTGATCTGATCACGGACTAACACATTTTTGAATCTGAAATGCATTTGAGCCTATTGGATTTGTAATGTAAATGCATTTTTTCACGATTCTGGTCACCAGAGACAAAAACAACAAGAACAGGGCCAAAGTCTCATTCCAAACCTGTGTGAGTTTATTTCTTTTTTTTTTGCAGAACACAATTTTTTTTTTAAGGAATGTGAACGTACAATATAAATCAATGGGGTCCTAAATAGCCTTGACTTTCTCTTCACAAAAAAAAAAAGATACAGAAAAGGATTAACCCAGTGGAGAACAACAACCAAAAACACGTGCAACTACCCATCTCTAATACACATACATCTGCTGTCATAGGAATGGATAATTATTATTAATACATTCAAACAACTGCAGTGGCAAAGCTGGCTGAAATGAAAATCACGCACATACACACACACAATCATTGCCTGATCTCCGTGACAGCGAGTCACGGCTGTTCTGACTGTGTCTGTGTTCTAGAATAATAGAGAAAAGCTTGTTTCTTTCTATTCGCCACTTAAAAAAAGAAAAAAAGAAAAGGAAACCAGGTCTGAATTACAATGATTCATTTAATTGAGCCAATTTTAATAAAATGCTTTTAAGACTTAATCTTTTAAGATTAAACAATGTCTCTGATTTACAGTTGTGTCCTTCTACAAACATTAGAAAAGACCTTGATTTCACTGCAGCTGTGGATAAGAAAACAGGAAATCCACATACAAAATGATTATCTATGCTGGAGTACTGAGGAATAGTCTGAAAACCAGACAAATTTGTCTAGTGTGTGTATATATACACTCACCTAAAGGATTATTAGAAACACCTGTTCAATTTCTCATTAATGCAATTATCTAATCAACCAATCACATGGCAGTTGCTTCAATGCATTTAGGGGTGTGGTCCTGGTCAAGACAATCTCCTGAACTCCAAACTGAATGTCAGAATGGGAAAGAAAGGTGATTTAAGCAATTTTGAGCGTGGCATGGTTGCTGGTGCCAGACGGGCCGGTCTGAGTATTTCACAATCTGCTCAGTTACTGGGATTTTCACGCACAACCATTTCTAGGGTTTACAAAGAATGGTGTGAAAAGGGAAAAACATCCAGTATGCGGCAGTCCTGTGGGCGAAAATGCCTTGTTGATGCTAGAGGTCAGAGGAGAATGGGCCGACTGATTAAAGCTGATAGAAGAGCAACAGTGACTGAAATAACCACTCGTTACAACCGAGGTATGCAGCAAAGCATTTGTGAAGCCACAACACGCACAACCTTGAGGCGAATGGGCTACAACAGCAGAAGACCCCACCGGGTACCACTCATCTCCACTACAAATAGGAAAAAGAGGCTACAATTTGCAAGAGCTCACCAAAATTGGACAGTTGAAGACTGGAAAAATGTTGCCTGGTCTGATGAGACTCGATTTCTGTTGAGACATTCAGATGGTAGAGTCAGAATTTGGCGTAAATAGAATGAGAAGGCAGGCTGGTGGTGGTGGTGTAATGGTGTGGGGGATGATTTCTTGGCACACTTTAGGCCCCTTAGTGCCAATTGGGCATTTTTTAAATGCCACGGCCTACCTGAGCATTGTTTCTGACCATGTCCATCCCTTTATGGCCACCATGCACCCATCCTCTGATGGCTACTTCCAGCAGGATAATGCACCATGTCACAAAGCTCGAATCATTTCAAATTGGTTTCTTGAACATGACAATGAGTTCACTGTACTAAAATGGCCCCCACAGTCACCAGATCTCAACCCAATAGAGCATCTTTGGGATGTGGTGGAACGGGAGCTTCGTGCCCTGGATGTGCATCCCACAAATCTCCATCAACTGCAAGATGCTATCCTATCAATATGGGCCATCATTTCTAAAGAATGCAAAGAATTGAAAGTGGGTGGTTTTACTCATTGTGATGGATGATTTAGGGAATTTGGCCTTTGTGTTTCCTCATATTTAAACTCCTGTGAAACAAGAAGTCATGGCTGGACACTTTCATGTTCCTAGTCCTCCTGGTGTGCTAAAAAAGGTAAATATTAATGGGAATATACTTCAGTGATATTTTACTCGTAAAAAATTCTAGGGGTACCAATAATTGTGGCCAACGTGTTTTGGAGA